GCTTGTGCATTCATTTTCAGTACTTATGATGCGCAGCCAGATATCTGGCCTTCCTCTCTGGAGGCGCTTGACGTGCTCGAGCAATTCAAGAATCTGTCTCCCAAGAAACAAGGTAAGTATATGCTGAACCAAAAGGTTTTTCTTAGAAGAAGCATATTCAAATTGGAAGAAAAACTTGAGAAACAGAGAAAGAAAAACCAAGAGCTGGAGATTGAGCTGACTTTGGCAGGTTCCTTGCCGAGTGAAAGTGAGAGTTACATGAATGATGCAGAGCGTCTGGGGGAGATGGTTCGTGTTTTGGATGAAAAGATTAAGTCTGTTACTGATAAGATTGAGGCTAAAAAAGCATCTGACATCTAACTCGGTTGTTGTTGAGTATGAGAAGAAAATAAATTTGAGCATGGCTCTAACTAGACATTTTTCTAGAAACAATAGATGTTTCATGTCATTTCTTCTTATTGTGGCGTTGATTTGATCATGTTTGGCTCAGATATGTTATCTGAATATACTTTTTAGCTGATTGTTGAATAATTATCCCGTTTTGCTTTACATGAATAAATTATTTTCATTAATGATTGGTCTCAATGCATTATCTTCTACTTGTTTAGTGTCCTTAATTGTTTGAAACTGCACTATTCAGGGATTTGAATTGTTTGAACTTGGCATTAATTCTTTGTTGTCCAAATGAGTTATTATTGCTAATCATTAACTTTGGTTGTGTTTCCTTAAAAATTGTGAATATATGTTCCCATGTTCCCCATAGATATGAACTTTTCAGAAATAAGTTAGCTTCTTCTGTATACTAAGTCAAAACCTAATGTCTAATGTTTCATGTCTCTGCCTTAATGTCTGATGTGATGTTTTGAGTTTGATTGAATAAAAATCATCGTTTTCACTGTTTTTGTTTGAAAGGAAGGCAAATGCAGGCAAGGAAAATGGAAAGAATGAAGGGAACTTTTTCCTTCCCTCTGTTGCTCTTCATGTTTGGGAAAGTTTGGCACTCATACAGAAAAGAGGAAGTAAAGGAAACCATTTTTATGTTTTTTCTACTTTCCTTGTCTCTGTATTTCCAACGCTTGAATTCCCATTCAAACCCTATTTACAAAACATCTCACTGAAATTATCAGTGTTCTATAGCTGAATCTTAATTAGAGACTCCTATCATCCAACATAACCTTGCACCTAAAAGCACAGTGACATTAACAACTGTAGTGAGCCGTTGGCCTAGCTAGGTACACTTGAAACCACATGCCAGTTGAGAGCCATTAGAGTCAGTACATTAAGAAAGGATCGATGAATTTATATTCAACCTCCTTAGCGTCTCACTGACAACACTCATCCATTATCTCACAGATTCTTGTTCTGCGCTAGTGGCTGCAGTTGGTGATGGTGCTTCAGGAGTGGTCGTTGTGGCTGCAGCAGGCTGCATCTCAGCCACCCTGCTTGGTTCAGAAGCAAAGCTCTCTCTTCCTCTCTCTTCCTCCTTCTTCAGCCTCATCCTCATCCTCTCAAACATAACCTGCATAGAAACAGGGCATTGTTATAACAGAACAAAAACGAGTAAA